GTCTCATAAGCATTTAACTTATTGACTAACTCTTGAGGGGTTAAAGTTTTCAATTGTTCAATTTTCTGAGTCAATTTGATAATTTCTGCTTCTTGTTGTTTAATCTTATCTAACAACTCTTGTTTTTGCCTTTTATGCCAATCTTCTGAGATTTCCAAAGCTTCTAGGTGAGTTTTAATTGCTCTTGTAAAGAGTTTATTTGTGTTTCATAAAAAGTGCCATTCCTCCATTTTGGTGAGGTAAAAGAGGGAGTTTTTTCTCTTCTGTATTTCCTTTCTCTTAACACAACAACAAACAACTTTGCTGGTAGGATATTCAATGTCAGATTGAATTCTCAATCTACCACACTTGTTACACTTTGGCAACTCATCATTTTCAAATATTACTTTACAATTTTCACAAATAAAATTGTTTGCTAATATTTTGTTGGTAATTATTTAAATGTTTATTTTGTTGAAAAAAATATATATTGATAATGTACATTTTCTGTGCTTAACATCCATGTGACCCTAAGTCTCAACAAAAGATCCCTTTCTATGAGTTTGCTGATATATCCCAAAGGCGTCCCATGTCTTGTTAGTGGCATGCCAACTCACCAACAACCCTACCCCCATTTACTAAAATAACAAATTCAGTTGGTCAAATAAAAATTAAAGAGAAGCAGAAAATTTATGAAAATGATTAATTTATAACATACCATACCAAACAAAATCCGAACCATTTTTATAACTTTTTTCTTTTTCTTGTTGGCCATATTGCTGACAAAGATGTATATAATGTGTGATAATTTTAACCTACAGGACAGAAAACTTATTGGGCAAAAACCCATCTGCTGCATAATACCAAATTGGAAATGTTAGTACTAAGTAAAGCATGACAAAATCGCGGATGCCGACGGATGCGGCTGGAATTAAGTTAAAAAAACGTTAAAGAATATCTCTGTAAAGTTACAGTACGTGTTACATATCAACGTGTCACCACTTTAATTGAACAATAAAGTTTTTTTACTTTAAAATTACGTTACACGCATAAAAAATTAGTGTAACATTTCGAATGTCCGATATTGGCATATTGGACAGTCAGTAATGTCCAATTAGCTACTGTGCCGATTGGATTTGGATTGAACAACTGGGACAAGACAAATCCAATTGGAAATTAATTGGACATATAAAATGCCAAATCAATATCAAATTAAACCAAAAACCTTTTGCAAAGCATATGTTGAAAAATCAGGTAAAGAAAAAATGGTTTCCAAACAAAAAAGATTGAATAATTCAGCATCTAAAGAAATGTCTAATTTAACAAAAATAAAATATGAGGAGGAAAATTAGGTGCAGCTCAATTAATTCAATTACAATTGCTTAAATGGTTTTGCACAAATGTTAAATCAAGATCAAAAAAAATTATTATAAATAATGTCACTTTTTGACCAAGTGAAATTAATTAATTAATCAATCAACTGGGTAATTAAATAATCCTCCTACATTAATAATTCAGAGCCTTGCATTAGAGTAGAGGCAGAAAGTTAATATATATAAAATGATTTTCTTTAATTCTTTCACTTTTGTGGTCGGAAATTAAACAATAGGGATTAATTGTCCATTTAGTTATCAGAGTGGTATAGAACTCTGAGGTTTTGGTTATTTGCTTTAGTATTAGTAAAGAAAGTAAACGTTTAATTTTTAAGCGTAAACGTCCTTGTTTAATTGTTAAGACTTATTGGCAAAATTATTAAGTGCTAATAGTTATTAACCAAAGTCATTACCACATATTGATTATTGGCTATTGTGTTAAAGTAATTTCGGATGACTTCGATCGACCCAAGTAAAGCAAAAGCAAAGTAAATAGAAAAGGAACTCTATAGGTGCATTTGTTGCTTTGTAGAAGGGCCATCTTTATTTATTGTAATTCGTTGTCAATTGTGCCATAAAGTGTGCTTACAAATTCGCCAAAACTTTCTAGGTAGAGAAGAAAGAGGTAACAGGCAGGATAATTTCGTAAAATAAATTAATTAATTGACGAGTTAGCTAAAAGGCTAACTCGAAACGTTAAATAATTAATGTTGACTAAAAAAGCTACCCTTGTAGCAAAATTTATATTTTATCCGGGACATTCCGCTGACAACACTGATTAATATCTATTTGTTGTTCACTTATAAAATATAACTTTTCAGATGAATGCAATTTTTTTTTTGAATTAGAAATTTCAACACACTAAACGAATTGACCTATTTCTACGATGTTAATATGATGATAGTACATGTGACATTATCATTATTGTTGCTAATTACTATGCTCAAATTTACTATATAATAGCACAAGTGAATATTATCATTAATGTTACTGCCATGACGATAATTGAAATCAAGTTTTATTATTACCCTCGACAATCTTTGTACTAGGGCAACGTCAAAATAGTAGTGATGGGTTGGTGAAGATAATGGTGGTAATGGAAAAGCCAATAATTGTAAATTCAACGATGTTAAATGGTCGTCGATTTCATCCTCTGTCGGTATTGGTGAAGGTGAAATTGTTGCCGTTGCCGTTGATTTTCACGCCAATCATTTTTATTATTACAGTTTTGTTCATTAATGGAGAGATCATCCAAGTCATCCAAGACAATAACAATTAGAAATTCTGTCGACATCATTGTGTTTTTGACCAATTACTATTGCTATTGAAATTTATTTTTTATTTTCTCAAACAAATTCATTTTTATTGGCTGGTGGTTGCATAATTAATTCTTGTAAATTATTCCGTATAAAAAACCCTAACTTTTTTTGTCATTATTATGAATTTCATCTTAACCTCTGAAGACGATGGAAACAAGGTTATGATTAGTGAGAGTGGTTCGTCCTTTTAAATATAATTAATAATAATAATAACAATAATATTACGGAGCTTCCGTTAATTTAGGAGCAATTTTCTCAATTAATAAATGTTTCATAATATTAAGTTTCGTTTAATATTAATATTATTTTCCGAAAAAAGAGTCAATTAATTTGTGTCAAAAAAATTTTGCATATTTATTATTAAAATTGAAGAGAATAATAACAAACCCCTTGATTCCCAAATGTTATTAATTGTTTCACTATTTATTCTTTGGGAAGTGTCATGCATGCTAAACGAAGATCAATAATAAAGAGGTCTTATTCCAAACATCTAGAAAAAGCATTAAAGTTCTTCGAAGATCGTTGCTATATAAAGGTTTGTCTTCTTATTTACAACAAATTTGGATTTTTTTCATTTTATTTTTTTTTTCTTAAAATATCTTCTTTCCCTCGTCAAGTTTATCAAACAATAAATATATTTACTCATCGAAAATTTTTTCAAAGAAAAAGAAAAAAAGGTTTGCATGATAAATTTATTTATTTATTAATAATTGTTTTGATAATTGATTGATTTGGTAAATTCTTTATAATTTTTAAATGAAAAGAATAAATATTGAGCTTCATTAGAAAAAAATAAATCAAAAAAATTACTTCTTTTGATCGATAGATGAATAATAAACAGCTTATTATTATTTTATTCATTTAGGTCAAAATTGTGAAAGATGGCACAATCCAATATTCTACAAGCCACTTCATTTCTAGTTGAGCCTGATCAACAATCTACCATTGACACACTCGTTAAAAATACTAGTTACTACTCTACTGACACTGACACTGATGATACTGGTACATCTACCACATCTACTACTAATGCCAATACCACAACCACAACTACTGCCATCACTTCTTTTAACGTTATAGAAAACATCAACATTAACACTATTGCTACTTTTAATTCTGATATTAATAATGCAAATATGGACATCACTGATAATTCAGAAACCTTTGCCATCAATGACATCTTCAGTAACGATAATATTGTTAATAGAAATAATTGTAGCATTAGCAACTATAATGATGATGATAATGATAATAACGATAACGATAATGATAAAAATAAAGATCATCAAACTAGTCCAAAAACTAGAACTTCTTATACAGTTGAAAAGAAAAAAGAAGTTACCGAATATGCAAAGAAACATGGTAGAAATTCTGCTGCGCGTCATTTTAAAATTGATCGAACAATGATCGGAAGATGGGTTAAAGCAAGTAATAAATGGGATGATAAAGTGAGTAACAATTCTAAACGTATTGGCTCAGGTCAAAAAGCGCATTATCCTGATGCTGAGAAACAACTTTATGCTTGGATTTGTGATCAAAAAGATCAAGCTACAAAATTGACCCATGCAAAAATTCAAGCAAAGATGCACGAAATATTAAAACAAAGTGAAATGGAAAAAAAATATCCAAATGCTTTAAATAATTTTAAAGGTAGTGCTCGTTGGGTAATGGGTTTTCTAAAACGAAATAATCTTCCAATATGCAGAAAATCTAAATTTCAAAAGGCACGTACTAAGGTTGCTGCTGAAAGTTTCAACAACTTTCGTAAAAATGTAGTCCAACTGAGACTTCAATACGATTTTATTACTGCTAATATGTTTAATATGGATAAAGTTCCTGTGTGGTTTGATGAATCTGGAAACATGGTGATTAATAGTAGACGTAAAAGAATTACTCATAATGATACTATGTTGGTTGAAAATTATCACTTTACTATTATTTTAACATGTGCAGCTGGTATTTTTTTTTTTATCTGTATATTTTTTATTTATATAATTTTATTTTATTCTTATTAAATTATTATTATTATTGTTATTACTATTAGATGGAACAAAAATGCCACCAATATGTATCTTTAGAGGAACACAAATGCCACCTGGAGAAACTGTCCCTAATGGAGTTCTTGTTTGGTTTCAAGAGAATGGAGTATTGACTACTGAACATCTGAAAAATTATGTTGATATTCTTCATTGTATGAGAATGGTTAAAGACAGTAATGCGCCAGCTTTGTTTGTACATAATTCGTATAATGGTCGATTGGAAGACTCTGTAGTTTCGAAATTTCAATGTAACAATTTTCAAGTTGCGGTAATTCCTGAAGGATTAACTGGAGTATGCCAACCTCTTAACGTCATTGTCTTGAGATCATTCAAAGAAAATTTACGTAAAGAATGGCAAAATTGGAAAAATGCTAGTCCTCCTATCAATTTACAAGCTAAAATAACCGAAGTTTGTGGTTGGGTGAAAAATGCATGGGATGAAGTTTCTTCTACTCATATTGTAAATGCATTTAAAAGATGTTTGATCTCTAATCCTCTTGATGGTGCTGAAAATGATAAAATATTTGAAGAGTTGGATATCTTAAATCCAAATGATTCTGATCATGGTGGATCTCACAAAGCAACAACTAGCAATCCCAATGATTCTGATGGTTCGCAAGATGCATCAGAATATTATTTAGAACGTCATTAAAAATTCTTTGGCGATGGCATGATAATGGTAGGTAAAGAAGAGAGAAACTTCAACTTTGGGGAAAATAATAAGTAATGATTAAAATTTATATACAAATGAAAATTTTAAAAATAATAGTAATAATAAATTTGCCCTAAAATTTATCAAGAAGGCTGTTTTCCTTTGATAAATAGAATGTAAATATATTTTTTATTTTGCACAGAAAAAAAAAAAAAAAAAAAAAATATATATATATATATATATATAAATGCTACTTTATTTTTTATCAATTATTTGTAATATAATTTGTTTTGTTTTTTTTTTTATCAAAATTTTTTATTTTTTATATTTTTTTTAAAAAAAAGGAGGATATAATATTTTTTTTAAATTTTATTTTTTTTTCACATATATATATTTTTCGGATGAAAAATCTATCGTTATATATTATGATTTTATGAACATCAAAAGTTTTTTCGAAAAACTTTTTAAGTTAAATTCTATAAGAATTTTTAAGTATATGTTGTATATATATAAATGAGATGAAGTAACAATTTTTCTTTAAATAAGATGTATATAAATTAATCAATAAAAAATAATTAGAAATATAATGCGAGTGATTTTTTTTTATTGATTTTAGTTAAGATGCAATATACAATGGTAATTAAATAATAAGGTAATTAAATAATAATAATAATAGTTGTAGCAACAGCAATTCACGAATAAAATGCATTTACAATTCCATCAATTTCTAATTCTGAAATAAACTCAATCACTTTTATATCTTTATGAGAACTTTTATCACGCAAAGCTGATTCACACATTGTATTAGCTCCAATAGGTTTAACGCTGCTGTCAATTGTCCCAACCGTGATATGCGGTATCTCATTGATACTTTTGATAAATGGTTCTATTCCCTTTACAACTAAAGCCATTTTTTCTCCATCAAATATTAGCTTATCAATATATAATTTTACTTGTGTTTTCAAATCGCTCAAATTTTTACATTGTTCCCACATTTCTTTAATTTCTTCTGATGGATTATTCTTTAATAGATTTCTATGAATAAGTGTTACGTGACCATCAATCTTGATACGGTTGTTTTGTTGTAACTTATGGAAAGTTCCAGAATCAACGTTTGGATTTTCTCTAAAGAAATCAGCAAGGAAGTTTTCCATGTCAAAATTTACGAGTTTAACCCCATAATAAACAGGTGGTTTATTTCTAGGTTTATTGGTCTTTTTTGGTGACAACGATGGTGTTGGATTGTTTTTGTAGGGGTCAGGAGATGGTAATGTATCCTTGTATCTATTTGATTTCTCGGGAGATCTTTTTTCAATAATCTTATGAACAGTTGGTTCATAATGTGTTGCTTCTTCTATTGCCTTAACAATTTCTTCTTTTGAAGGTTCTCTCATCTCAAGAATTGTTTTAAGTTGTTCGATTGCTATTTTAAGATTATCTTTCAAGTCATTGGCGATTTTCAGTTCTATCACAAGATTAAATTGACCGTCAATCCCATGGTTGGAATCAAGCGGCTCAAATGATCGTAGAAATGACCACATAAGACGTTCATATTCAGGAATATCTGGTATACATGATTGATGATATTCTCCTCTTTCAAAAACACGTTTTGAGGTAATCTTGTAAACTTCTTCTAGATTGTTTATATCGTGATACCAATACAACCCAACTATAAAAAGATTTTGATGTCTTGATTTCACAGCTTCAATCAAAGTTTTTCGAAGTTTTAAGGTTAGATTATCCCTAAATTAGATTTACATTAAAAAAAAAAAAATTCATAAACAACAATAATAATAAATTAATTAATCATAATTTACAATTAATTCATCACACCAATCTGCTATAACAACATCATGTGTTTCCAAAAGGTCACCAATGTTTTTATAGAAGTCTACTCTGCTTGTCATATCATCTTTTTGTGTATGTTCAAATCCAAATAATTTAGAAAGTGCCAATGATAATGATGTCTTTCCACATCCAATTGAAGCAATTGTGATAATCAACGTTTTCTTGAACTCTTTATCAACTTTGGTAGAAATTAATGTCTCGCCTGGCATTTTCTGGTCATTCAAGAACATTTCTCTTATTTTAATGATTCCGTGATTCATTTTGTATCCTTCGAAAAGACCTGGTTCTGTTCTCAATTTTTCCGTTACCCAATTAATATACTTTTGAGTTAATGCATATTTAGATTTTGGTTTTTTTTTATTTAAAATTGTTTTAGTTACTTCTCTCCATTCACGATACATAAAATATTGGGGTCCAATATCATATGTGTTACAACATATGTTACACGTTTCAAATTAAGGATATATATATTTGAACCATAGGACAATAAAAAAATGAAGAGCTTTTTTTTAATTTCATATAAA